GTGTCGCCAGACCCATGAGGTCTTGTGTGAGTTGTCAACTTCAGTTTTGTTGTTAAAGGAGCAGATGTCGGGGAATTTGCCTGGTTTTTGCTTTTGGATTGTGGAGGGGAGTCTGGTATGGTGATAGCGCTACCGTTAGAGGCATGTGGGCGTTTTGGAGCCATCGTAAGCTGTTGAACAAGATGGAACTGATGATTCCCTTGCTGCTGAGCCACACAGCGAAGAAAAATTGTTTTGCCCGGGCCGGGCCGGGCCGGCAGCTTTTCTAAAGGAGCCCGGCTCGGCGCTTCATTTTGAGCGCGGGCCGGGCCGGGTCCAGGCCTTACCTTGAACGTTCTCGATAGCCTGCATTGTCCCCCGGGCCGCTCTTGCCATTGCCAAGAAATTCTGCCGAGAGCCGAGAAGGACCCTGGCAAAGTCCTAGGTAGGGGGTGTTATAGTAGTCACGTGACTGGCACGACTGCGGCACAGACTTTCTCACGATCTGGCCAACAAAACCAAGCCAGACTTTCTCTCGAGATTCCACATCATTGTGGAATCTAAGGGCCCGTTCGGTACGATTCGATATACGTATATCGTGATATACTACACCAAACCAATATACAGTATATCAGAATATACATATATCGAGTTTTCAAAAAAGTGCCGGTGTTCGGTAGATTTATTTGGAAAAAATTCCAAATTGTATAACACGATATACTGGTCGATTTGAATATACAGCCTTTTGGCCGTATATCAGACCGAAAAAGACTTTTTGCCCCTCCTTCTTCTCTATGACCTCCTCTCTCCATCTCCCTTTCACCCTTCCTGTTCGATCACTTGTCACTATACACCCTCCTTCACCATACCCGATCATCTCTTCAAGTTCAACCGTCACCCTCTCGACTTTGTAAGTTCATAGAATTCAACCGAATCACCATTGAGTGCAAGTACACACCCAACATTTCACTCAATTCCTACATCTCATCCTCATTCGCAATCAAACTTCTTACCATCACCTAAGGTCAAACTTTCCATCCACCAACATCATCAAATTCAACAAGTCCTTCTTGTCTCTTACATACTATCTATCAATTGCGAAGACGACTTCCTTCTCGATGCTTGGACTCATTCAAATTCATCTTGTAATCATTCTTGGTTCAACTCGTCTTCTTCTTATTTACATTCATCATAGAGACAGATTGGAATTTTGGAAGAATTTGTTGTATGTAAAAAGATGTGAAAGGAAAAACTTTGCAGCACTACAAATGATCATGCTTACCTATTACAAAATGAGATACTACCTTATCATAAAGAACTCCATCATGATCTGGAATGGTTTTGTTAACAAAGCATCAAAGATCTAATCAACACTGAAAGGAGAGTCTGAGAGTATCTTTTTGTCTTCTTTCTTTTGAAGATCACAAAGAAAAGGAAAAAAGGAAACCAAGAACAGAGAACAGAAGGATGTGTACAATCCGTTGAGCGCACTGGTTTAAAAAAACGAGAGAAAGATGTTTGTAACAGTGACCACCATGGATGAGTGTTGAAGGCTATTGATTGATGTTCAAGCTTCATTCAATATTCACTTTTCAAATGATCGTTACCAAACACTTGAACGGTGATCAAAAGGTCAACAACGATCGTTGTGATCTTTTGTTGACCTTTCTGGTCAAGTGTTCGGCAAACTGTATAACCAAATAAACGGTATTTCAATCTGCCCCGTGATATAGGGGCGGATCGATATACCGTTTTTTGGTAACAGTATATTGGAATTCCTACAGAACGGGCCCTAAACTTTTCTTGATTACTTATGCTTTCTACACTTTGTCTATTCACAATAGGTACATTACATTACATCATTGTGGAATCTAAACTTTTCTTGATTACTTATGCTTTCTACACTTTGTCTATTCACAATAGGTTATGAGCCTGCGCTCACGATCTGACAAACAGTCGATGCATGGAAACGAGAAGACGGAATTACGCTACTAATCCGAGATCTCCTCCTAAAAGCAAACGACGAACACGCATAAACAAGAAACAAGTACAGCAGGAAATTCGATCGTTTTTTCCTGATTTATCCACATTACCTCCACTACCACCATCCCCCGCACTTTCACATAATCCTGAAAATCCATTATCACCCATATCTTCTCCAATCGTATCTCCTATTGAATCTACCTC